AACATGGATGGACATAGAGGGTATTATGCTAAGTGAAATAAGCCAGGTGGAGAAAGACAAGTACGGTATGATTTTACTTATTTGTGGAATCTAAAAACAAAACAAAACAAAATGAACAAAATAGCAATAGACTTGTATACTAAGAAGTGACTGGTGGAAATTGATAGTGGTGATACTGAAAGGGTTGGGGTAAAGTGATGGGGAAGGGGAGGGGGATAAAAGGTTATGAAAATTCTCAATTTTAATATAAGTTGGTCACAGGGATGGTAGTACAGCATGGAGAACATAGACAATGATTCTGTAACATCTTCCTATGTTGGCAGATAGTAGCTGCCCTAAGTGGGGCTAAGGATTTAATAATTTAGGGAACTGTTGACCACTATGTTGTATACTTGAAACCAGTATAAGATTGTATATCAACTACACTTCAGTAAAAGAAAACTTGAGGTGTATCAGAATCACCTGAGATGCTCATAACACGGAAAATACGTGGGGCCCCTTCCCAGACCCACTGAGTCAAATCCCTGTGGGTGGGGCCCAGGCATCTGATGTTCAAATAAGTTTCCCAGATGATTCTAACACATACAGAAATTTCAGAATCACTGAGGTCTATAAATGGTAGATGGGTTTTTTTAGGTATTTTAATTCTCAGGTTCGTAGATTTATTTAGAGCCTCACAGGATGTTTGGGAATGGCTAAATCATAATGTACAAATTCCAAAACACTATCCTATCTAAATTTACGAATTGGCAATTGGCAACACCTGTGATACGACCTATCATAATCAAACTGATGTCATCTCATTTTTCCTGTTGAAAGATAGTTTTTTAATGATAATAGCTAGCACTCTGTTTTGTGTGTGTTGAGTAGTTTTCATTTGGCATGTGAAAAATGACAGTTCTATTTCCTGTAACCATTATTAACAAAATTTCAAGCAGTTTAAAACAAATTTTTTTTTAATTTAAAAAATAAAAATATGTTGGAAATTGATAGTGGTGATAGCTGCACAACTGCATGAATATACTCAAAAGTACTTGATTCTACACTTTAAAACTTCATTTAATGGAATGTAAATTTACCTTAATTGGACACTAAACAAACAAAAAACAATGAAAATAACCCCTACCATATAATTAACATAAAATATGATGCCTGGCATATAGAAAATCCATAATAAGCAATAGCTATGATTACTCTTTATCAATTTCTCCTAAGATGACTTAATTGCAAAATGTGTATTGTAGTAATGTCTTTTTCAATTTTGTACAATATATAATGTGGTTCAAAAAGTCATGATATATAGAATTATGTGCTTTGAAGACATAAATGACAAAATAAAAACAGTATTTTGAGAGAACTGTGGTCTTAATTAGTTTAATTTTCTAAAAGATTCATTGCTCCCTGACATCAGTGATTTAACATGCATTAATTTTCCTACACTATTTTATACAGCAGAAGGGGCTGACATAATTTCCTGATAACTATGAAACATTTTTGACCACACAATCATCTTTAATAACGAAAGAACTCAAGTGACTTTCTCATAAAATAATGTAAGGATTTTCTCTTTTTTTTTTTTTTGTACAAATCAAGGGGGAAATAGCTATACAGGTCAAAAGTGTTTTGGGCTTTTATTATATGTTTTTAAAATTTTACATCAGACCCTAGCTCCTTGTCATTTTAAGGTATGTTATGGGATTGCATAGTCAGTTTTGCAACCCCTTTGCATATCACAAAGCAGATGTTCATTAACTATGTGGCAAATAAAATGGGATATTGTAATTTCTGAATAAATAGAAAGCTAGCACAAATGGATGTTGGTGTACACCCAAACGCAATCCTAGAGCTTATACCAAAGGGAGAGTCATGGTGTATGTTTGAAAACCTAACATAAAAACTGTAAAAAGACAATTAGAGATGCAGAATTTGTTTGTCATCCTGAGTGAGACAGAAATTAATGGCACTGCCTTAGGGGAAAATCTTGAATTTAAATCTGATCTGTGCTTTTTTCACACTGCTTGGCTGTGTAACAGAAGTACCCAAGCAGAGCTTTCCTTGTTGGTTGGATAACATCAGGATGTCAGCAGAGACCAGTTTGGATGAGGACCTGTTAGCAGAAGCAAACAGACTTGCTGGTTCAGAAGATTTCCTTCCCATCCCTACTTGGTAATTCATTATAATTGCTTTCTTCTTTTCAATTGTGTTATGTTGCGTCTTATCTCTATGAAGCTATTTGTTATGCCTATTTCAAATCCCTATTTACCTCTTTAATTCTTTTTCATTACATGTGATCATCTTCCTCCCCTTGCTCCAGCTCCTCTTTTAACTCTTATCTTACTCTTTCTTTCTCCTGATAATCATCATTTTTTTCTCATCTTACTTCTTTGCTGCTCCTCTTTCTATTTTTCCTCTTCTTCCTCTTCCTAAAACAATATTAGTTGAAATTAAGACATCAATGCATGGGATAAAAATCATAATGCACAAAGATTAAGAACAATTCAGAGAGTTGGATATTAAAATTATCCGTCAGGAAGACATACAAGAAAACGTAAAATTAATTTTAAAAGATATAATGGATTAAATAAGAAGTATCAACATCTATGTTCTAGAAGTCAGAAGAGAGAAAAAGGTAAATAAAAAACTGATAGATACATTCTATCAAAGAATCTTAGACATAAGATGTTTATTGCATTTGAACATGTAATGCTGCACTTCCCGAGACTCAACTAGTCATAAAAAATGTGACTGGTCGTGAAGGAAGCACTCGGCTGTATCAGAGAACATACATGTGTCTTGTGTTCCTATCAGTCTGGCTTCAACTGATTGGATCTTGCACTGGCATCCAAGTCAAAAGCAGTTTTCTATGTATTGGGCAATGCAAGCAACCTGTGAGACACTTTGAGATGAGAACTGTGCCCATAAATAATACCCTATGCTATGATTCTGCTTACTAACTCAATCAGATTAGATCTTGGAGAGTATTGTAGGTAGAGGATTTTTTTAAATTAAAAAAAACAAAAAAAAAAAGCAGTAATAACTACCAAGAAGCAAAACACACAAGAAGCCAATGCCATGAGATACACAGGAGAGGTGATCCACTTAATAACAGAAGTGAAACAGAACAAAAACCACAAAACCAGGAATCTTAGATATGGAAATAGTAGACTACTAAAGTTGTTATTAGGTCACTAAAACTTGTGGGAAATGTTGCATTGTATTTCAAATGTCTGTGATACTTGACTCACATAATTTTCTATGTAGCTTTAGTTCCGCTTGTGCCATTACATTGAACTCTATAACAAATAAGAAAAACTAAAAAAAAATTCACCAAAAGTAGCATCATGCTCAGCCCTGGTGCTGAACAGGTAAGCCACCTGTGTGATAGGATTTGAGGCAAACTATCACCTCGGAAACTTTAAACACCTGAAATTATACCACTTTAGGTATATTCTTGTAATTTGTAGCTATGTTCTCTTGTCATGCAAATATCCCACATAACTGAGCTTTAGCATACATTAATAGAAAGGAACGATTGAATTATCTGAAACAAAAAAGGAGAAAGACACATTGAATTCCAAAAAGTCCAGTCCAGAGAGCTTATTCTCTATATTTAGCTAACTAGCTAATAAATATGTAGGTAGTTCACTAACTAGCTAATAAAAGCAGTATATAGTGCTTTTACATGGATAAGAAAGCAAAAAATTTTTCAGTGTATTTAAGAAAATAATATAAGAAACCTTTTATGTTCATGAGTATTACCTAGAAAAAATCATTTGCAGTTCATGTTTTCCATTTTATAATCGGATTCCATGTGATTTAAAGAATTTATATGGTTTTATTTAAAATGTAGAATTTTAGAACTTGAAAAGGTTATCAGACATGTATTAGTATTCCTTAATCTTAGTAATGAGCAAACTGAACAAAAGGGGGGGTAAAGTGCAAGATCAAAACGTTTTTTTAGTTCAGAGCTATTTTTTAAATTATATTTTTACTTAGATTGATGACAGAGTAGATAGTGCTAGAGACTTTGAAGTTGAATTATCATTAATATTTGTTTCGGAAATGCTCTGTAGTTCTGCTTGCCTATGAATATCAAAATCAGCAGATTTACAATTAAACCCTGGTATCTCTTCAAAGTGTATATTCTAAACATATGAAAGGCAATTGACTATCTGGAATATTTCAGTTTTTCAAACAAAGTAATTTGTACTGCTCCTTACAAGATACAAAGTACAAATTCAGAAGATATTAGCCTTTGTTAATTTCCTCCTTTTTTAAATATTTGTAGGCTTTACAATCTATAATGTTTCATATTCATTATCATATTCCTTATCATCATTAGATTTTATCTACTTAATAACCTTAAATTGGTGGCAAATCAGGAAGCCAAGGTTCATAGTTTAAGTGCTGCTCCAAATCATGCCAAAATTGAATGGTAGATTCAAGACTCACTCACAGATCTTCTAAATCCAAATATAGTTCTTCTCATTTCCAGGTTACTCCATAGGAGATATCAATTGACTCCTATCATATTGACCTCTGGTTCCAGCTGATGTGTCACTCTTTCTCTAAACCTAAATTACCTTCCCCCATTTCAAGGTGGAATCAATTAAATGCAAAGATATAGACTTGTCTATCCAGTAATGTGGAAGTGAGCCACCTTAATTTAAGTTTTACTCAGTTCACTGTAACTATTTCTTCCTCTGGGTTACATTTCTTGGGCCAATCCATGATAGTTGTGTTCTTTTTTTAAATTTTGCATACTGTATGAATATCAGATTGTGAGAACTTTGATAACAGCTTGAGGTCTATTCATTTTTAACAACTCTCATAACAGTTTAATGCACATTGGTCAACAGGAAAACATCAAGAACTTAAAATATATGCTTCAAGTAAGTCCACAATTTACCTAAAATTAATGATAATTGATGGCAGTAATACACTTTCACAGTCAATAAAAATGTTTCTAAAAATAATATTAATAACATAAGAGATCTTACCTAGACCATGTCTATGTGTTGACATTGGTGGTAAGACAGTCCATGTCTTGGTTTTGGGATTGTAACATTCAACAGTGTTCAATGTCTTTAAGCCATCTCGACCTCCAATTACAAAGAGTTTGTCATCAATAACAGCCACACCAAACTGCAATCTCCTGCCATTCATCATCCCTGCCTGGATCCACAAATTTGTTCTGAGGTCATATTTCTCTATGGTTGTAGCTCCTGATAAAACATAAAATCAAATAGTCACCATTTACTATTACTCCAACATATAAATTGCTCAAGGCAGTGGACAAATAAGGATGTGAACACACTCTTGTTGCATTCATTATTCTTAAAAACTGGCAGATAAATGAAGGGAGAAATAATTTGACTACTTTGTTTTCTCTTCTTGGCAGAAACTAATAATCAAAATAGACACAAATGTTCAGCTTGTTTGAATTACATAATGGTCTCATGCTAAACTGTCAGTTCATAGAATCATTGTTGAGTAGGACACAATTCTAGCAGTAGATTTTACAACTTCTTATATCACTGTTCACCATAATAAAAGTGTAACATAATTCTAGCCTGAAAAACTTATTAAAGCCCTTTTAAATAAATAAGCTACATATGTTATCTATATAATTCGGGAAGTGAAGTTAATTTAGTGAGCTCTCTACCACGTTGATCTTAAAATTTGACTTATGCTTCAAATAACAAAGGGTTTTAAAAGTCTAAGATTTGTAAACGAATGTCAGCTATGCTTTTTTTGACCTTCTTTTTAAAATGTGCATCTGGGAAAAGCTTAATAAAATTTGAAAACATAAAATGATCTTTTCACCAATCACATTATAATCCCTTATAAAAAGCCTATCTTTCCCCAAAACTTTTTACATATGAACTTGAGAAATGCAATAAATATGACTAGTAAAATAGAAATTGAAAAAATAAATAAGGTGCATTTCTGACATATTTTTAAATGAATTCAGTTAACTATTTCACTTTTAGAACATCTGCCTCAAACAAGTTCACAAATATTTATACAATAAAATATAAACTAACACTGATTTTGCTTCACTGTTTGTTCTTAATGTTAGACTCACAACCATCAATGTTTTATCTTCAATGATTAAATATCCTTACAAAGGGAGTTAACATTTTTCTGTACTTTCACTTATGCACTAAGGGTGTATTTTACTAGTAATGTGATCAAGAGTTGCAAGCTAGGGGAAATGTTCCTCAAAGGACTCATTTACTCTTTAGAATATAACCAGCAATGAACTAAACAAATATAAATTACCTGGCAGGAGGTTTTTTTCTAGTTGAAGTAAAAATGATATAATTTATGTCTGATTTTTATTCAAAGGTAACAAAGCAGTAGTGATATAAATACTGAGTTAGATGGATTAAATCTGTTTTTATGTTATTGAAAATAAGAGCTAATTTCCACACAGCTAAATATGGAGTATTACAAAATTATTATTTTTAAAATAATTTTTTAGAATTGTATGCAAAAATACTGTTTTTAGAATTGTACATAAAAGTCATTTGATACTGTTTAGTAACAAGACATTATTTAAACAAATTGCTTCTTTTATGCTTTAGTAAACATATTTTACATTGAATGTTTTATTTAACTATGTACACATAGACATTCCAAGATGAACTAAATTGTTTAATTTCAGGGTCATCGGAATTCTCAAAGCTTGATAGCATTGTGATTCCATTAATGTCTTACTAAAGATCATTACATGCAAATACCTCTTGCTTATGACTCTTAACAAATGATGGCAGAAGAAATCTAGTCCAAATCCTAATTAAACTAATTTCATGAGACCCATCTTTGATGGTGTGGTAGACAAGGAAGTAAATATTTGAACAACTACACTTTCCTTAATCTCCAAAACCTTGGTCAAAACCTTTGCAGAGAATTTGAGGTCCACTCATCCTTCTAAGAGGAAATAGTTGGGAATGTGTGAAATTAATGTTTTCTGAGCAACCAAACATGTTATTCAAAGGGCAACCGTAAGGATTTGATTTGAGTAGTTTCAAAGTCTCATCCAAAATAGCTACATGTATCTTAAATCTTAACACATTACAGGATTTTTCACTTTTACATCAATCTTCAAAGGTGACTTAAACATTTTATCCTAAAGTTGGTACTTCAGAAATAGGAGTGCATTGTTGTATTCATTTTTGGAATTAGAAGCTGTGTTAATTTCCTGTGGCTGTTGTGAAGAATTATCTCAAATTTAGTGGATTAAAAAACACAAATCTGTTATTTTACAGTTTTGGAGGTCCAAAGTTTGAAATAGGTCTTACTGTGCCAGAGTCAAGGTATTGGTAGAGCTTTCTTTCAGGGGGTTTTAAGGTATATGTGGTTTTCTTGTCTTTCCTTCTTGTACAGGCCACCCACACTCTTGACCTTTTCTTCCATTTTGAAAGGCAGAACACTGCATCTTGCTGCCATGATACTTGGGACTACATTGGGCTCACCCAGATTTAATCTGAGTTAATGTAGAATAATCTGATTTAATGTAGAATAATCTGTTTAAATTTAGCTAATTATAAACCTTAATTCCCTTCACAACCTTAACATTTCCCCACCTTGCTATGTAAGCTAACAAACATAGATTCTTGGGATTAGGATGTAGACATCTTCGGAGGGCCATTCTCCATATCCCAGAAGCCAAGGCCTATTTTGAATCCACTCTTCAAATTTTGCTTAGCTACAAAAGTTTAGTAATATAAAACATATAAGGGTCTCTTGATTTGTAGATTTATCTGTAGTAGCCAATGTGATTAAAAAATTTTATTATTCAGTCAACATGTAATATAGTTTATTTACTTTTTAATAACAAAGTTAAGAATATGCTTCCTATTTTTCTAATGAAAGTTATTAATATAATGTTCTTTAAGAACTTCACTAGCTATATAAACTCCTTGATTCTATTATTATTATTTTTTAATTTACCAATTTGTTTGTGAGTCCTGTTATTTTCCTTTGCTTCTAATAGCATATGTATCCCCTTAGTGATTTCCTGAGTCAGAAGAAGGATAAAGCTATTCTCTCTGAAATGTTACCTTGCTTTGTTCCCTAAAGTAAGGGCAATATTTGCCATTGCATAAATTAAAAACAGAAAGTGAATAAAAGGACACTTACATGTGTAAAAGAGATTTAAATGTGTTAGTACATTTAATTTTATAAGGATTTTATGAGATAGATATAATTATTATGCCAATTTTACATAAAAGAAGTTAAATCAAGGAATGCCTTAATAATTTTTCAGTGTCTCTCAAATAATAGCTGGTGGATCCACAGCATTAACATCGCTTGGATAAACACTTATCTTTACCACCTCATCCTGGTTGAGTTAATTGAAATTGATATATGTGTGTAAGAATCTTATAAACTTCCTGAGACTAAATGACCTATATCCTAGAACCTGTGAATATGCTGAGACATCACTCCATTGATTGTTACACTGTCTGCCACAGCTGAACTTAATATAGGGAGATGATCTGGGTGGCCCTAGTCACATGACCCTCGAAAATGACGAGATTTCTCCAGCTGGTGGTAGGGAGAGAAGTCAGGGTGTTATGAGGCAAGAGTGAGCAAGACTGGCTTACTGGTTTGAAGATGGAAGGGGCCATAGGAGAAGGAACACTGGTGGCTTCTAAGACCCCAGAGTGTTCCTAACCTAACAGCCAGCAAGGAAACAGTCCCTCTTTTACAACCACAGGAAACGAATTCTCTCAACAATCTGAGTGATCTCAGAAGATGGCCTCTAGCTCCACATGATGACACAGACTAGCCATCACCTTGATTTCAGCCTTTTGAGATCTTAGCAGAGAATCCAGGCATGTCATTGTGGATAAAATGAGAGTTCCTGTGGCCAGGATTCTCACATGGCCCTGGCTGACTAGCTCACTGCACATCTGTGGGCACTACATGGCTGTTGACTATATAAAGAGCTCTGCCACTTGCTCTGTGCACAACACGGTGGCAGGGCTGCAAGGCTGCAGGAGAGCAGAACAGAGGCTGGTGTGATGGCAGTGCTGAGGACAGAGGCCCAGAGGATGGCTGTGTGGGATGACTGTGCCGAGAGGCCCAGAGGACGGCTATGCAGGATGGCTATGCAGAGAGGCCCAGAGGACAGCTGTGTGGACAGAGGGGCCCAGAGGCAGTGACCGGCTTGCTACATGCAGACTCGCTCTGAGTGAATGGGATTCTAGTGACTGACTTGCCACCTGGAAATAAAGTTGGGTATAACCTTTTCACCCCAAGAACATTTTGCTGTCAATTTCTTTGGTCACATTGAATCCATAACAAACTTGCGCGGGTCTGAAACCCATTGGCAAGACAGCCATCCTAGGCTCCTGACCTACAGAACTATTATCTAGAAGATGACAGTTGTTGGTTTGTTACTGCAGCAGTGCAGTATAGTTTAATATGCATTTTAAATATTTTTATAGTATTCATTTTCCAAGTTCAATAACATAACTAGAATGTATTACATAAAATACATATATAAAAGTATTTTCCTTGTGACAAAACACAAAGCAGACTCCTTTCTCAAAATAATAAGACTGATAAAAGTGCTCAAGATGTTATCAAAGTGTGGTTCTGTCTCTTTGGAGTTGTTCATTCATATAATCAAATATGATTATTTTGGGAGGAATGACAGAAAGTAATACTAGTACATTCTATTTTGGCATTACAGATGGCAAGACATTCAATATCTATAATTCAAATATTTAATAGTCTTATGTATCCTGAATATGGCAATAGTATAAAATGATAAAAATTTTTGGAACTCAGAAAATAGATGCCACAAGAAGCTCCTATAAAGAAAATAAAACTCTTTTATTCATCTCAACAGAAAGGCTCTCAGGTCTTCTCACAAAGCCTTTTTAGTACAGTTTTAATGTAATGTTAATATGCTCAGTTACTTGACTTCTGAGACATTTTATAAACCTACAAATTAGAATGATGGGGGAGTTGAAAGCAAAAATATCTGACAGCGAACTGAAAAAAAAATATTGTTTGAATTCAGTAGAACAATAATTTGCAGCTACTAAATGAAAAAACAAATATGTTATATAATGCCAAAAGAGGATGCTGGCCTGACAGTGATGGTTATCTTGATGCCAACAAACCATTAGGAAAAGGTTAAATTATGTTAGAGGTATTTTCTTTTAAAAAGCAGTAAATATAGAGAAACATTTTGGAAAAATTT